TTTTTTTTTTTTTTTTTTTTTAAAACAGCTACCAAATCCATATGAGCAGTCCAACCAATACTGAACAGTTCTTTTTTTGCAGGTTATTTGGGATCCTAATCATCTTCTCCTTCATCATCTGTTTCTCTCTTCCTCTTTTCACCTTTCCCGCTTTCTTCCTCCTCTGTACAACAACAAAAATTCATTTTGAGACAATTGGAAAGGCATTTTGCCTAGGTTACTGCTAATGAAGTAAAAACAATGAATTTTTTGTTGGCTGAGAGATCTGATAGATTGTTAGTTAAGAGGTATTAATTTTAAAAAGCATAAACAGTGACCACAGAACCAAGAAGGGCAAAATGCACAGCCCCATCTCAAATCACAGCAAAGTTAAATCAGTTTCCTCAATTTTAAATTGCAGTCTTCCAAATGTTTCTTATACTTGTTGGTCCAGTAGGACATCAGCAGTTATTAAAATGCATAGCAAGGACTTTGGAGTTAGCTAACCCGTTTCTGACCCATGCTCACTAACAACTGACCTTGGGTGGGCTGCTTAACCCCTTCCCTTTAAGCCTGTTTCCTTGTTTATAAAATGGGGACAATGGTACTGACTTGGAGTTATTCTGAGGATTAAATGATAACATGAAGTATTTTAGCCTTGAACATGGCAAAACTCAAATTGTAGCAAGTTGATATTGACTAAAGAGATTTCTTAAGAATCCTCAGGTTTTAGACACAGAGACCTATATAGGGTTTGTTTGTTCAACTAGTAAAAATTCATGGCTATCAAATTAACTAAATCTGTGTCAAACTCTTTTCCATAATGCTCCTTAAAGGCAGAAACCAGGTCCTAAGGATTGTTCTATCATTGTAAATAGTCTAGTGCCTGGGATAGAGAACAGATGCTGAAAAACTGTGAACCAATGGGAAGCACAGCAAACAACCTGGTATTGTGAAACCTATACAAGCATGAGAATTTGTACCTTCTATAAGTAATATATAAATGGATATTTCACTGGTTTTGGTTGGGGAGAAGGGGAATCACACTGATAAAATTGGAAAGGTGATATGTACATATTCTGCAAAAATTATCACCCAATTACTAAGACTTTTTAAATGAAAGAAATCTCATGCCTGGCAGTAACCTAAAGATGAGGTCTAAAGGCACAGTTCCAATGTGGGGATGGAGAGCTGCGCCTCCTTCCCTCCGATGAGCACTGCTACTAGCTCTGCTCCCTAGAGAGTGGGTGAGCTGCACCAGCATACATGCACGGAGAGGGCTGCACAGTGCCTGTAAGGACCACCAGGGCAAAGGGCATTTTATTTTCTTCTCGGTGGTTCCAAATTCTAAATTCACTCCCCCCCCCCATTCTTAACTGAGGGCCCAAAGGGTGTTAACCCACCTTCGTCCTCGTCCTCATCATCTTCATCTTCATCTTCCTCAAGTCCAAAGTCTTCTTCCTAGGGAACAGGAATGGCAATGATCATCATTAGATCAATTCTGCCAAGTTGAGAAGTACAAAAACTATGTAATTCCCCAATAAATGTAACAATCCTTCAGGGGAGAAAACTGTAATGTTACGTTTATTTACTTTGATGTACCGAGTGAGATCTGTTGGTTTTCCTTAAGCTTAATTTAAAATTTTCTTTAAAAATTGCTTTTTAACCCTGGCCGGCATGGTTCAGTGGTTAGAGCATTGTCGTGCGCACTTAAGGGTCGTGGGTTGATTCTGAGTCAAGGATACGTACCTGGGTTGCACGGTTCTATCCTGGGTCCCCAGTCCGGGCACATGCAAGAGGCAACCAATCGATGTCTCTCTCTCATATCAATGTTTCTCTCCCCCCCACACCCCGCCCCCTCCACTCTCTCTCAATGGAAAAAATATCCTTGGATGAGGATTAAAAAAAATTGCTTTTCAGAAGTAGGCATTTAATTAGCATAAAACTTTAAATGAGTAATTCGAGAAATGGTTTAAAAACCTTGAATTTCAAAGCAGGTCTGAACAAAGATTTCTACATTACCATTGTTATAAAAAGCTTCTTTCGGAAACTTAATTTCATTAAACACCTATGAGATTATATAAATGCTCAGCCTATTTCTGTACTAAAAAAGAACACGCTTTTTTTATGACGTCTAACTTTCTTTGCCTGTTTTCACAAAACTCCTTGAGGTCAAAGTCAAGTCACTCCTTTCTCCTGCCCTTCTACGGCATTCAGCTCCTTAGAGATATTGGATTACTAGGTGTTCCATTAAGCTAGACTACCTGCTCTTTCAGGGCAGCACCACATTCTTATTTAACTTTGTATCCCCAGCTCTTTAACAAAGGAGGCATATAATTGCTGAATTAAGCTGAGTATACAAGAGCCAACCCAGACTTGGTAAACGTAACCTTTCTTTCAATACAACAAAGGGACAGATGTAACCTTCAGTTCTCTGTGTTTCCAGTTTTCTCACCCTACTGAATGCTCAGCTTGTTGCTGTCTCCAAAGTGAAGGGTCAAAACGTACCTTGCAGAGCCAATCACTGTGTCCAATTAGCATTCAGTAAGCATTCCATTTAGTATTTATTAAAGAGGGTGGGGGATACAAGAACTAATTAATCAGACTGGTATCAGTATATTCACAAGTATGCTAATTTCTTCAGGCATTTTTTCCTCTTAAAAAAAATCTGTTACTTTTACATAATTTCAAATAGGAAGCAGAGTTGTACCGACCTCCCCACTGACTTCATCTTCATCTTCCTCCCCTTCTATGTCTTCATCTTCATCGTCATCCTCGTCATCATCAAACTCTTCCTCCTCACCATCTTCATCCTCCTCGTCCTCCTCATCCTCTCCTTCTGAAAACAGTCCAAAAGGAATTCGGTAAATACCCGATGTCCCCTGGGGTACACCTGCTGAGGTACTGGCGAACTATGGGTTGGCCACAGGACAAATGCTGGACTACACCAGTGTCAGGGAAAACCACGAACTGCAGTCACCCTCTTGCTCCCAGGCTGTAGAGCTCAGTCCTTTTGTCCAACAGAATCCCATAAAATTTGGAGGCCAGGACTCCTGGTAGACTCGATGTGCACTATGACATTTAGTAAAGCCCAACCGGAGTGGCTTAGCAGTTGAGCGTTGACCCATGAACCAAGAAGTCACTGGTTCGATTCCTAGTCAGGGCACATGCCCGGTTTGAGGGCTTGATCTAGGAATGCAACATATAGTACTTTGAAATCATTGCCTTCTTAAACCCTACTCATATATTAAAGGCAGTAAAGCTATTTTACTTACATTTGGCTGTAACAAACATGTACCAAGTACCTATTAAGTGTTGGGTCCTGTGAATAAAGAAAAAAGCCCTTACCCAAGAAAATAATTATAGCATAGTTGGAAGGGACAAGAATAGCAGAGTGGTAAGTGCTACGAAAGAGGTAGCAAGGGGATGTTCTAGCATGCTCACGAATCTAACCTCTCAAGGGTGTCGGGAAAGTCTTCCTGGAAGTGTCGACGAAGATGAGTTTGTAAGGATAAGTAAGCAGTAACCAAGAGAGGGGAACAGCTAGGAGGAAGGCAGGAGACATGAAATGATAGTCCCTTTAGTAAATTGTGAATCACAGTACTTCAATGGATTGGAGCAGTCTATGCTCTCTAGGCTGGAAATTCAAGACACTAGCTAACAAACCATTTTTATTTGGAATCATTTAAAGGCTTCAATGTCCCAAGAGCTTATTAAAATTAAACAGAGGTCCTAACTCCAAATTTAATGGAATGCCTACATGCATGAATGTAAATTATTTTCCTCAACAGCAAGAACATTCAGTAGCTTTATCAGGACCCTTGAAAGGCAGAAATTAGGTCCACTGGATGTTGTGTCCAATTACCTTCATCATCCTCTTCTTCATCCACACCATCCACCTCAGCATCTGAGTCAGGAGCTTCTCGATCCTCTCGGTCATAGCCATCCAGGTAGGTCAGCTGGGGCAAGAGCTTGAAGACACTCTCCCGGTAGTCATTCAGGTTAGTAACCTCACAGTTAAACAGATCCAGGCTTTTCAGACATTCCAGCTTTTTCTGAAAAGGATAAAAAACCACACCTCCTAAATCAAAGGAACATAAGCAACAAAACCCATCTCCTAAAGCGGTAAAACTCTAGGCTCGTATCCATTTAGCTACTACTCACTCAGCCTTGTACATAGAAAAACATTTCAAGTCCTTAGAGGCCACTGGATTTTTAAATAATCCTTCCTTCTACATCTACCCTTCTCAAATAACTGTCTTTTTCTGGCAGCATTAGTCTTAAGAAATACAAATTTGAAAAAATTATTAAAACTGAATCTTTTCACAGTTAGACAAATCAGAGAATTTAATGAATTTGGTTCAAACTAAGCTTAAACATTTGGGTAATCAAAAGCCCAAAAGGAACTTGCTGAGGATCAAGCATAGTCCTCAATGCTCTGGGGAAGTACTATGAAAAAAACCTCATTCATTCAATCAATCAATCAACTCAATCTCAAGGTGTTTGAGATTTCTACTTGGGGACATAGATGTAAAACACTAAAGAACATAATATAATAAAGCACAAAGTGTGGTGATGCAGACATTTTCTGGGAAGAGAAGAATCAATATAGGCTGGCAAAAAGAAGAGAGGGAACTCAGAGTTCAAACTTCAGAAATAAGAAATATTACACTCTTTTCTTCTTAATTTTTGGGGAAATGATTGACACTATTACCAGACTTTTCCACGTAAAATTCTTTTGATGTTACCATACCTTGAAACTTTGTTGAATACCTCATTTACCTGGAACCTCAATTTCATTTATCTAAAATAGTTAAGACCTAAAAACTTGGCCCAAGAAAATTTTGAGCAATCAAAGTGGAAAGGAAAATTTCCAGGTATTTTACTCAGATCTTCATCTGTTATGATATCAGTGTATTAGTACTGCAACCCCACATCTATTAAGTTTTGATTAAGGGTGAATTAAGAGGTTGGGAGGGCAGAGGTATTATTACAGGAAAGTAAAGACAGAGCAACAGGAAGTGACAGCAGACCCTCTTAGGGAAAAGAAGAGAGGGTGCAAACTTAAAAAAAGCAAACACAAAACATGAAGTGCTATGTAGCCTGCTGCCCTTTAGAATAGGGGCAATAAGCCTGGAGGGCATACACTATATAGCTTCATAAATGTAACTTTTAATGGTTCTGAATCAAAAGAAAAGGCTTGGTATTCTCTAAAAAAGAATTAAAAAATATTAAGAGGATCTCTGTATGAAGTTGCAAAAAATAAGTATGTTTAAAGGCTTTGATGCATTATTGGGAAAGCTATTTCAATATTCACAAGGGCATGGGAAGAAATGCAGATTAAACAAAACCTTGTTTTCAGGACTTGAGGTATCTGTGTAATTCTAAGGAGTTACAAAATGATTTGAAGGTCTTTGCTCTAAAGCAGGGCTTGGCAAAAGATGGTCTGCTGGCCCATTCGGGCCCACTGCCTGTTTTTGTAAAATAAGTTTTATTTAAACACAGCCACATTCATTTGTTTACATATTATGTATGGTTTCTTTTGTGCTGCAATGGGACAGCTGAGTAACTGTGATAGACTGTACACCCAACAAAGCCTAAATGATCTATTATTGGGCCCTTTAGAGGAAAGTGTTGCTGACTGCTGCCCTTACAGAATCTTCATCTTCCTGGTGAAAGATGAGGTTCCCACACTTATTTTATTTTTCACTGAGCAGCCCTTGGGAACATAGAGCCAGACAGGGAAGAGAACACAGAGCAGGGTTACAGCAACAGGAAACCGTACTCCTCAAAACACCAATGTGCGATGATCCAAGGGTTTGTGGATCAAATAATGTGCTTATGTAAGTCAGTCCCCTGAGGTCTTAAGAAAGCTGTCCCCAGTCCATCTCATCATTGGGAGAGCTGTTTTTATGTCATGTAGCTTTCAGATTAGGTTTCCCACTGGGCAGGCCCTGACCTCTAGAAGCCCAGGTATGAATTCTTGCCAAAGAGAAAAAAAAAAATTTTAAAATGCTGAAATACCACCCCAGACAACTAGCTAGCATACTGGGAACTCTTTCCATTTCACAAAATGGTTGATTTTATACCAGCTAGGTTAAAACCACAAGTAAATTTAGGTAGCTTTGGCTCGGTCTAAAAATTCATTGCTCAAAGGAATGAGCCATGTAGTTCTCAAAATGATTCCCTAGAAAAAGATGCACAAAGCCCGGCCGGGCATGGCTCAGCGGTTGAGTGTTGACCTAGGATCCAGGCGATAGGGGTTTGATTCTCGGTCAGGGCACATGCCTGGGTTGTGGGCCTGATCCCCAGTTGGGGCGTGTAGGAGGCAGCCGATCAATGACTCTCTCATCATTGATGTTTCTATCTCTCTCTCTCCCTCTCCTTTCCTCTCTCTGAAATTAATAAAGATATATTAAAATAAAAAGAAAAAAAAAGATGCACAAAAATGCATACAGTCCTTGATCTTTAATGCTCCACAGTACCCCAAGCCCTTTCTTTAGTTCTATTAACCATCCCAGTCCACAGCGCCTCCAAGGCTCTCCTGTTTCTGAAACTATGATTCTGTGATATTTCTGGCTACTTCTTCAGAAAGGACCCATTATAATTCGGACATGCCAAACAGTATGCTAGAAAACTAAGTGAAAGCAAATAAAACAAAATCACAAATAATTGCAGTACCCTAGAATTATTTAAAGTAGTAAAATTACACTTTAAGGCCTCAAATACACTACACAGAGATCATTCAGGATACCAATGTAATGTTTAAATACCGCTAAAAAAACCCACAAAAAACAAACCACAACTCAATATCATAAATTTGGCCTAAAACTAATAGGCTAGCCATAATAAACATTAAACATTTTATTAACAATAATTTTGCTTGCCTTCTTAGAATTTAGAAGGGCTTTGGGGGATGGTTTGGATGGCCCAGGTCTCTTAAAAAAGGTGTCCAAGGAAGTTTGAATTGATGCCTTCTTTGTCTCTCGATTAATGTCCCTGTAGCAAGCAGAGGCATTCACAATCATTGCATTGACTGTAAGAACTGGGCTCAATGTAGACGGTGTTCAAAATGTATGTGGTTAATGAGGATGAGGATGGTGTTTTCCCCCACTGAAGAATACTTTCAGAAGTCAAAATGGACCCATCATTTCCCCCCTTCACCTTCTCCTACAGTTATATTTTATTCCAAGTTCTAACTTCAGGAGACCCACCTAGCACCCCTAGGAATCTGAGCAGCAAGTTCAGAGAAGGGTGGGAGCTCAGGCTTTTCCAGAAAGCCCTGGGTGTGCAGCACTGCAGCTCTCACTGGCTAGTCAAGTGTGTGACTCTGGACAAGGGATTCAGCCTCTCCCAAGCCTCAGCTTCCTCATGTGTAAAATGAGGGCCTTGCTATTTCTATCCACTTTGCAGAAATGTTCTTTGAGGTTTACTAATGAGATAACACACATAAAGCAACTACTACAGTGTACGGTACATAGCAGATCCTCCAAAAATGATAAATACAACAATGATTATTTCTCATTCTTTACTGTCCCAGGGGACTGAGACTTTCAAAGCCACCCAAGGGCCCTCAAACATCACTGATCAGTTCAGGAACACCCAAGCAAACAGCTCCCACACACTATGTTTGCTTCTGCTCTGCCTCTGTATGCTAGGACACTGACAAAGGCTTCTGATGAAACATCTAAGAGGACCCAGGTTGCCTGAGAATTAGGCAATAGCCAATGATCTAGCATGGTACTACCTGGTGCTCTGTTCCAGAAAAAAAGGGGTTCCTATGCTCAGAGTGACCCTGGATTGATAGGCCTGTCATTAACACAAACAATAAAGGCTTAGTGTAGGTGTCTGACTGGGAGACAACCAGCGCTTAATTTAGTGCTCCTGTTAAAATAGCTTAGGTCAATTTGGGTACAGAACAAATCTGTAGGTAAAAAGAAAAGATCAGATCCCAAGAACAGTGCAAAAAATGGCGGACTTAGATTTGAATCCCTATTCTGGAGTTCATCCTGTGACCACTGAGTAATTACTTAAGTTTTCTAAACTTGGTTTTCTCTATGGTCATTCGCTCTTCTCTGGCTTATATGAGGATACGATGAGCAATGTTAATGTCCTTGAATTCAGCAAAACTCAACAAATGCTTGTTTAAACATTGGAAACAGGGACTGGTTTGGAGAAAAATAGAACTAGTAAAAATGAGGGAGCCTAAGTATCTGGGTGTACCTATCTACAGCAGACAAAAGGGGCAAAATTCATGGAGCAAAGATGAGAAAAAGGCTCCCAACATTTATGAGAAATATGAGCTGGACATGCTCCACTTAATGAAACATACACATGCCCAGCCAGCACTGACTCAGTGGTTGAGCATTGACCCAGGATCCAGGAGGTCACAGTTTGATTCCCTGTCAGGGCACATGCCTGGGTTGTAGGCTCAATCCCCAGTAGGGGGCGTGCAGGAGGCAGCTGATCAATACTCTCTCATCATTGATGTTTCTCTTTCCCTATCCCTTGCTCTCTCTGAAATCAATGAAAACATATTAAGAAAAATAAAATAAAATGTACACATAAAATGACTCAGTAAAAGATGATTAAATCTACATTAGAGCAGAGCATCAATTATTAATCAGGAGGGAAAGACCCTATAATTCTGACAAGTCCTCTTTGTTGAAAGAAATCATAATTTAACTCTGTCTTCCTTTGAAATAGTAACAGAACATTCTGTACAACTAATGGGAAATCCAAATATTATAAATATACTGTGACATCAGAAAAGATAGCAGAGGGTGGCTTATCCTCTTGAGTTTTGCTCTACTAGATCCTGAAAGACAACTCCTATCTACTGTGTAACCAACCCTCTCCCAATTAATGTTTGGAAGTTAATGGAAACACTGACTTTATGTACACCAAGTAGGCCTCATTAAAACAGAATTCTCCTTGTATGCCAAATTTATACAATGTCACATTTAGGGAAAGCAGTCACTTAACAATCTTGAATTCATAGAATTTCCAGATGACAACCAAAAGAGCAGCCTGTGGGACTGCCCCACATGCTGCATTAAGCCCTGCCTACAAAAGTTTTTTTCTAGACCCCCATTAGCAAAGCTTCCCAACTTACAAAGCAAAGTAAGTGCATTACCTTATTTTATTCCCAGAACTCCTAAGTGAGGAAACTGAGGCCCAGAGAAAAGAAGCATTTTGCCCAAGGTCACACAGCAAGTCTATAACCCATTGCACTTAAATTTAACTTTCCATAGCTTATCCCAGTATGTAAGACTGAGGAGGATATGGGGGGCTCCCATGCAAAACTTTGGGCAACAGTGATCCAGCTAAAGTACAAGGTTATGAATTAGGAGACCTAAAACTTATTGGAACCGTCCTTGGACTTCTGTTCCACTATAATTCAGATATGCCACCCAATATAAATAGCTTTTTCTATAAAAGTATAGAATAGCCTGGCCAGTCTGGGAAAAAAATATTTAATTTCATAAATATATGAAATTTTAAAAGGACAAGGAAAAAAAAAAGAATTCCCTGTTTAAGGAAGCCACCACAGAATCAGGCAATCAATTATTATTTCCAATCATTTCCCTTACTATAAAGCAATATGAAAATGAAAATGACCGTAAGTCCTGGTTTCCAAATTCTTAATTACTTACCAAAGGTTCCAAGGTGCTGATATCTTTCAGTTTATTTCCACTTAAGTTTAGATGTGTGAGATTTGGAAGTTTTTCTGCCAACATGTCCAGACATCCATAGATTCTATTGTCACTGAGCTCAAGCTGCAAGAGAAAATGTACAGCACACACACAAATATACAGAGAAACATACATCATTAAGGTGTTCTAAAGAGCAAATACAGTTCTCAAATACTTACCAAGATCAAATGATCTCTATTTTTATTAGCACATGTATGTTTGTTTTATTTGATTAAACCCAAATAAGTAGTTTACAGATGCCAGCAACATTTTGGGGGAGGAGAGAGAAGATAGGATGAGAAGAGTTGTGTTTTCTTAACCAGCTGCTAATTTTAACAGTTTGCTTAAGAACTGGTCCCTAACACCAGTGAATACATTTTTTAACCTAAAAAAGTAGGTCAAAGCAAATTAGAATTCTTTAAGAAGTTGTAATACTCTATACTTGCCAGGAAGGATAAATGGTCCATGCATTCTAAGCAGCTTATTGTGTGTGCCAAGCAAAGCTTGCTATGCCCACTTGCAACCTAACCTGGTGCTGCACAGTGCTGACACACGGTGGAGTTCTACATCTGGAAGCCACCAGGGAATCTGCTCTGAAGGTTATAGGAGTAGTACAAGCCCAAAAAGCATACTCTTAAAGGTCCATGACCTCACAAAAGGGAGTGAGACAACAGCTTCAGGGTTGATACAACCAACTCCCTGGAGGCCACTTCTTGCATAAACCTGGCCTTTATAAGAACCTACTCTAATTTCTTTGCTGCAGGTCAAGTAGCACAGCAAGTGGTGTGCCAATAAAGGAAATGAGCCTTCAGCAAGGAATATTAGAATCTTAGAGTGAAAGATACTGGAGCCTGGAAAAATTAGATGGTCAAGAGCATCAAATTCAAATTCTTCATTTTGCAGATGAGAAAACTTCGGTCGTACAGCTGGTTTTAATTCCCTATTTTAAGTGCCAACAATGGTAACTGTATCTAACCCTTACTTAGTACTTGCAGGTACTGTTCAAAGCACTAGAAATACTACATGATCACTTGATCTCACAATAACCCCATGGGGTAGGTAGAATTATTACCCCCACTGACAGATGAGGAAAATTAAGTACAAAGAGACTATGTAACACTCCCAAGAGCACACAGCTGTTACAGTGGTTGACCTATGATCTGAAGCTGGGCAGGCTAGTTTTAAAAGAATCCATGCTCTTTGAACTATGCTATGTACCTTGAAGAACATGAAAACATCATGTAATTTTGTCTACAGCACGCAATGAAATAAACATATGATGCAGAATAGAGAACTTTTAAAAATTTAAATAGTTCTTGAAAGAATGAGTTTAAAAAACAATTCAAGTCTGCTGCTTAGGTGTTAAGTATTTCAGAAGAGGCAAATGCAACATTTAAGAAAAGATTTTCCTTCCAATGGGATAGTCTAGTCAAGTATCTAATCGCCATCTAGATTTAAAAATATTAAGTCCATAATCGACAAAGACCCAAGTGTTAGCTTTATTTGAGATATTAGTAAATCAAAATAAAAAGAGAACACTTCTTTTTGTTGGTTAGAATATCAGAACACATATGTAATTCATCCTTTCAAGATGAGTATCTTAGGGAGCAGAAATAACAAGGCAATCTTGCCACAGGATTTAGTGGCTTATTTATTTTGAAATAAAAGCAATGTGTAAATTTAGGAAACCTATGACATTTATACACAAATTTCTTTCAGATCCTGTTTCTTGTTATAAAATAACCCATGCGCTAGGGTAGAAAGAAAATAAAGCCCACATCAGCTGTGAGAACATCTATCTGCCTTTAAATCTGATTTACAGAAGTCTTCATTACTCCCTCACTAACTCTACAAGTAACCAATTAAAATAAGACTTCAGAAGGATTTGATAAAGCCTCTATATAGATGGTCACTGATACACTTACTTTTTAAGTAAGTATGACAGTACACAGACCATAATAATTCAGAAAAATGTATCAGGATGCTAGGAAAACAGAACACAAAACACATACTACACTAGGATCTGCTAACATCAAGTTTATGTAGATATATGCTAAAAAGTCATCTGTTGTTTAATGGGCTAATCAGAGTTTCCAGTGTCACCAATATCCCATGCAAATAAGGATGGCTCTTAAATCTCTAAAGCCCATACTTATCAGAAGGGAAAATTTTACCAATTTAAATATAACAGGATTCTTTGGTATAGGAAGCAAGTCACCCTGAAACCCATGAGGACTGCCTGAGCATTATTACATAAATAAAGCAAATAAGTAAAAAGCATTTCTGGTTTTTAATTCATGTACTTAAGAAAAAACAAGTCCCGCCCAGCCGGGTGTGGCTCAGTGGTTGAGCTTCGACCTAGGATCCAGGCGATCGGGGTTCGATTTCCGGTCAGGGCACATGCCCAGGTTGTGGGCTGCAGCCGATCAATGACTCTCTCATCATTGATGTTTCTATCTCTCTCTCCCTCTCCTTTCCTCTCTCTGAAATCAATAAAGATATATTTTTAAAAAAAAAGAAAAGAAAAAAAAGAAAAAACAAGTCCCTCTCAGGACTCAAAAAGCAAGCTACAGGAACAGCCTACCTGCGCCTTTGCTTAAATTTGATTACAGATTTCTTTCTATGTGTATCTTTGTTTAGACAGTTTCAACAAATATTCCCTAATAAAATGAAAACCCAAACAGTAAAGAATTCTGCAACACTTACCTGACCACATACCTTTCTGTATGTAATAGGGAAGGTACTGGGTTAGAAAATATGGGTTCTAGTTTTGGCTCTAGCACTAACCACTTTTGTGGGTGGCTTTAGGCAAATTACTATACCTTTCTAGGTCTACTGGTGTGCCTATAAAATAAGGAACTAGAAGATCTAAGTTTCTTCCAGTTTTGACATTCTGGAGCTCTGTGATAGTTAAATGTGTAAGGACACGAGAAAACATTTATCTTGGGGTTTGTTTTTTTTAAGTAGGGGGTGGAGTTGGAGGGGGGTAGTGATTGGTTTGCAATTAGATCAATGAAGAGCTAACAACGGGCCATCAGTCAGGATAGGGAAATACAGAAGCTCTGTTACAATGGATTCTTGCAGTGAGTCACAACACATTTTAAACTTCTAGTTATTAAAAATTATGCAACTGGCCCAGCCGGTCTGGCTCAGTGGTTGAGCACTGACCCAACAACCAGTAGGTCATGGTTCAATTATAGGTCAGTGCACATGAAGGCGTTTCAGGCACAATTCCCAGTAGGGGGCACGCAGGAGGCAGTCGATCAATGATTCTCATCACTGATGTTTCTCTCTCTCTTTCCCCTCTCTCCCTTCCTCGCTCTAAAATCAATGTAAACATATTTAAAAAATAATGCAAAGGGTTTGAATTATCATAAAGACAACAAATCTGAAAAGTCTTTACTACTTAAACTCACCTTTAATCAACAAAGATAAAACATGAGTGGTAGGCACCTGTGTTTCCTAAACCAGAGCATACTAAGAACAAAATGTATCTAACATTATAACAACAAGTTTATAAAAATTAAGTAATAAATTATTCATAACTAGTTATTTAGCATCCAACATGTATTATTTCCAAACATCAAAACAATTCTATAAGGCCAAGTGGTATCACCAGTTTACAGGTGAGGAAATTGAGCCTTAGAAAGATTAAGTAACCTGTAGATCACCCATCAAGGAAATGATAGAACTGGAATTCAATCCCAGATATGCCCAGTTCCAAAGGCCACACATGTGCTTTCTGCTACACTAAATGCTTCCTTACAGGTAAATCACATATTTTTCCCTTCCCGGGATGGTTTTCTTTTACTGTTAAAGAAAAAGCACTTACCTTTTTCAATTTTGGTAGTTTGGGGAGATTTGAAACTGAAATCAAGCCTACACTTATTAAACTGAGGAACTCTAAGTTCACAAATTCAGCTGTTAAGCCCTCAATTTTCCCATCATTTGATTTGCAATTGTCCAGGACAAGTTCTCGAACCTGTAGATGACAAAGGAAAAAGAAGACAAGTTTTCAAAAACATACAGAAAACAAAGAACAAAAAAAGCAAAAACTCCGTAAATACACAGCAAAAACACTCGCATATAGGGGCAGCCTCTATTTAGACCTAGATTACAGTTATAAATAAATGAAAAATGATTAAGCCTTTAGTAACAATATACTGATACCAAGGGTGGAATGTTACACCATGGTATAAATAAAGATTTAAACTCTTTCCTTTCCAGAGACAGAAACTACAGTTCTTAAGATGTAAGTGAAGAAACTGTATCTCCCCTATTTCTTTTCCCCAGTCTGTTCCCTAAGAGGTAGCTTTAACTACAAATGCAGAGCGAGGATACTCCTCACCCTCTTTTAGGCTGAGTCTATCTCAAGGCCCAGGAGACTGACACAAGAAAAATAGGAAAGCTTTACTTTTTCTAACAAGATCACTAAGAGACTTTGTCAGCACTATACATTTCCACTTGTGGTATTATTAATCTTTACTAAGATTATCTTGACACTAGGAAGGAGTCAAGATGCAAGAGGCCTTAATTCAAAACAAAGATAGATTTGGGTTATATGTGAGAATGATAGGGAGAGAACTTAGACATTAAATTAGGTTCCTTTTTCCAACTATAAAATCTCCTTTGGAGACCCTGAAATTCAGAACTCAAATTCATCCAAGGGTATCACACCTGAAGATTCTGAATAGTGATTTAATAAACAGTCTACTGTGTTAATACTATAATAATCCTTATTGCCATTCTTGTTCTGTGGTTGGGTCTGAAACTTGCAACTTTTAAACATATTTTGATCAATTTACAGTGATGCAAATTAGTTTTAACTGCCAAAGGCATTCTTGCAGTGAATCTACCAAGTTTAATAGCATCAATCAAGCATATATGTGGAAGGTAGATGCTTACCTAATATAAGGATAGGAGCTAGTGATGTCTTCACCCTCCCATACAGAATCCAAGGATACCACTCTACTAATTGCTATCATTTACCAAGAACATACTTATTCTCGGCACCACCACACCCTCCCCCATTTACAGAGAAGGAAACAGGTTTATAGAATCTGTGATGCCCACGCCAGCACAGCTCACTTGCTCCTTCCTTCACTACTTCTCACTGCCCTCGCCCTATTCCCTCCTCATAAGCCTTGGTTTCAGTCAGGATGCATGCAGTCCTATTATACCTTTTTCCTTCTACTTTTCTCTAGATAACTCTGCCATTCTTCCTTCTGATGAAAATCAGCACATGTGAAAACCTAAGAGGTCAGCTGAGGAGAGCAGGGTTCTAGAGACAGATGCCTGGGTCAATCCTGGCTCTGCCATTTATCTGTGTGACCTTGGGCAAGTCACTTAACCTCTCTGTGCCTCAGTTTCCCCATCTGTGAAGTAGGAAAAAATAGTACCCACCTCATGGAATATTAGAGTAGTGCTTGGGACATAGTAAATGCTGAGAAAGTAACGTCTGGGAAAAGGGAGTAGGGAAATGACAGGAACCTTTGCTGTCCACTTTATTCATATCTATACTAAGTTTTGTTTTTACAAGCAGGTATTTTCGTATTAAAAAATAAAAATAAAAACCAACCCCAAAACATAAAAGTCAATTTTGATTGCTACTCACCTAAGTAGTATGCTACAATACTACTAAAATGGGCCCATTTGGTTTGGGAGATTTTCTACAACTCTGACAGAGAATCCAAAATTATTACACAGATTGAACCTAATATGCCAAAAGCCAAGTGAGGAGTTATTACAGTTAGCTATATTACCTCTTAAGCCATTTTGCCTCCCAGTTTACTGAGTGAAATCACCTTCTGGACAATTTCTCTCAACTAGTGAAATTCCACTTCAACTTGAATCATCAAACACTACCATAAAGCATTTAAATGTGAGTTTACATGTTTGCTGAAACAAACAGAATAGAAATAAAAAGAGGAAATTGGGAGAGAAAAATGTTAATGTGGTTTTTATTTTTTTTTTAATTTTAAATTGATTTTAGAGAGGGAGAATGAGAAACATCAACTTGTTGTTCCACTTATTTATGCATTCATTGGTTGATTCTTATATGTGCCCTGACCAGGGATCAAACCCACAACCTTGGTGGGTATGGATGACACTCTACCCAACTGACATACCTAGGCAGGTCTGTTAAAATGCTTCTAATTTGCAGGTTTAGCTACTGAGTACAGAAGATGATGGAGAGGAATTGAGGTTCTGGTTTAGAGAAATGGGAACCATGTAGCTAGATGAAAATAAGAAAGGAACAGCTTGTTGAAGGAGGTGTGTAAGCAATAACAAAAGGGATACCAAGCTTAAGGTTCCCATGGGATGTCCAGATGAAAGGTTTCCCCAGACAGCTCTGCACACGTGGGCTTGGAGTTCAGGGGAGGTCTGGGTTGTAAATTCCATATTTGCAAGTCATCAGGATGGAAATAATAGTGGAAGGATAGAATTCCCAAGAGGACGACGAAGGATTTCTCTTATCACTGATGTTTCTATCTCTCTCTCCTCTCCCTCTCTAAATTAAAAAAATTTTTTTTTAAAAAAAGAGAGATATACCATTCACTCTAGGAGGCAGGACAGCTCTTCCTGTGCAGAAGACAGCTAGGATGGGCACAGGTGTAGGTGAGTTTATAAGTGGGAGAGCAAGAGGTTCAGGAAATGCACACTGAGACCTTTAATTTTCTCCATGAGTAGGAGGCAACAGACTTTACTGGGGTGAGTAGGGCAGAGGGTTGTATGGCTCAGCAGAGAAGGCAGTCCTTTCACTTTTTTAGGAAGGCTGAGGATGTAAAGAAACGTGCTACCCCCAGAACAGGGCTCCAGAAGCACAGTAAGAGGACACAGCAGAGTGGGAATTACTGCAGAAAGCAGAGACCACAGGATGGTCCCACTCAGTGCTGTGCCTGAGTATGACAGGTCTGGAAAGCCCTCCATCAGCAGTCTTCTAGCCCGTCTAAAGTTCTAAACAGAACTTCGGTGAAAAGGTATCTTCTCTCAGGCACTGTGTCAGCAGCATTTGAGATAACTAAGCGTTCCTATTCCCTCATTCCTTTCTGAAGTGTGAAGGGATCCAGACTGCCTGGCAAGGGAAAGTACAACTGTGTAAGAGTGTGCATGGGGCAGTGTGTGGAGGGGAGTGGGGGTGGTAGTGATAGACAGGCATATAATCCCGTTGCCTCCCAATCTAGCTCTAGAATACATGGCAGGTTCTAATCAAGGAGAAATGGCCCATTTCCCCTACGTATGCCCCAAATCCTCCATGGCTACTATCTAAGGAGGGAAGGTTGGTCAGGCACTTGTACATTAGTGTGTACAACCTAGGGGAGCTATTTGGTCTAAAATAATTAGCTGGCCTTCTGCTCAAAAACAGATGTTTTAACTTTTGGGGTCAAATTCACTCTTCTTCGTACTTCATTTTCCAATTAAACTAGCCTTTTCTCAAACATGACAAGTCTTCAGGATTCTGGAGGCCAAGCGTACTCAAGAGCTGGAACCACACAAATATAAGGAGCCATGTGACTAGTTGAGTTTGGTTTTAAAGGAGTCATCTTGGAACTTCTCATTTGCCTTAAGAATGATGCTTTTGGGCAAAAACACTTTTTAATTCCTCTTATAAATTGCCCTTCAAAATCTGTGGCATATTTTTCTCCTGAAAAGCCTTCTGTTTAAGGTCAAAGCTTTCCTCTCCTCTCTTTAGAACCTAACTCCTACTGGTGGTCTCAGTCTCCCAGTCAGAGTCCCTAGGGAAGCCTTTCTTTACCCCTACAATCTTAGCTGGCTCCTGTAACACTCTTAAGGCCCCTAACTTGCACAACTGCAACAGGCACCACAGGGGTCTGAGGCCTCAGGAGGGAAGGGACTGCAGCTCTCTGCCTGGTTCACACTGCTTTTCCAGGTCCTGGCATACTATTAGCACTCAAATATTTATTTAATAAACAACTGGATTACGGTAGGCTAGTGCTGTCCAACAGAGCAGCTACTAGTCAATTGTGGCTTATGAGCACTTAAAATGTGGATCGTGCAACTGTCAAATTGACCTTTTAATTGAATTTTAATTAAATAGCCACATGATTCTGGCCTGTTTTTGGCAAGAGGATAAGGCCTAAGGTGATTACCTGAAAAAGTAACACTTGCACATATATGTACACGTTTAAAAGCAATATATTAGTTATCTCATATACAAAAAAATTCCATATAGTGGGAATATCAGCCCAGTTGTATTTCCCGGAGGGAGCAACACTGCTTTTACTGAGTACTTTATTTTTTTGTCTAGTGCTTTCTATTTTACTTTTTATTGAATTTATTGTGGTGACATTGGTCAATAAAATTATAAAGGTTTCAGGTGCACAATTCTATAACGCATCATCTGTATATTGTATTGTGTGCTCACTCCAAGTCAAGTCTTACTGAATAAACTTTAATAGTACTGTAGCTTTCGCACAAAGAGTTCAAGTTCTAGATTTGAAAACACTTAAGATTCACGTGGGTACTTCTCTTTTGAAAATTTTGACTAAATTTAATTACTCCACATTCTATTAATTTATAACTCCTCAGTAATACCGTAAACACCTTAAATTACAACCGAAAAGAACACAACTCTTCGAGTCTCACGGCGTGAAGCAGCTTAACCCTTCCGCCTACTAGCACGTGGCCCACACAAAATGTCTGACTGACGAGCCGACGGGACGGACGTGGTCCACCCTCAACCTCAAAACCCGGGGGACTGGTGGCGATGCCCACGCCATGGCTCAGATCCCCCAGGAACGCGCAGGGTGGCCATGAGGTGTGGCGCCCCACACCTCGCTTGTGGTGACCTCAGGGATTCAAAACTTCGTGCACGCCAGGTAAACCCTGGTTTAATTTCCACAAGTTGGCAAATTGCTACCCACAGCTACCTGAGCGCGAGAAACGCACCCACTGCTAGACCTGGGCGGGGCGGGAGGACTTCCCCGGGCCGACCCCGGCCGGAGCGCGCCACTCACCCTGAGAGGGTCTGGCAGAGGCGCGGCCTCCCCGCGTGGCGGCCGGGAGCCGGCCGCGGGAAGCGCTCCAGTCGCGGGGACGGGAGGAGGGCAGGGCGCGGAGTAAAGGGGGTTCTTAAAGGCCCG